TAGAATAAAAATAAGTTATAACAACAGATCAGAAAAATAATATTTTATTTTAGTAATAAAATATCTCACTATGTGGCTATTCTTCCGAACTCGATGGCATTGACGGCTTCTGCAATATACTCCTCCAGTTCTTAATATAAGACTTAATTATTGAGTTGATTCTGGTTCTAAATATAAGATACATTTTTCATCTTTATTAATTTTTCTTAAATTACTCCTATGGATACTCCCTCAATCATAATGAAGTAGAAGACGGAGGGAGAATATTAAATAAGATAATTATGATCTTTTAGAAAAAATATGTCATCTTTCTTATAATTAACTAACTTACCTAACTTTCTTAATCTAATCAAATTAGTTAAATAAGTTTTATATTAAGAACCGAAAGAGTAATATAAAAAATTTAACTCGCTCTTACAGTATCACTAGAACACGATATAAATCAAATAGAGAGGGATATTTATAATTTTAAATTCAATAATGAAAATCACATAATATATAGGTGGGGGGAGGGGAGATCATGATAATCATCATGCGTTGGCAGAAGAAAACCACCCTGAATTGACTAATAATTTAAGCTTGGTAATTAATTAAAAATTTCCCTATCTTATCAACTAACTCAATTCCGACTAATAATTAATTTTTAATCCTGTGGATAATTTTGTCTCCAATAATAAACTACTACCTCCGGTTCTCAATATAAAACGTTGTTTGATTTTTTTACCCTAAATATAAGACTCCAATTCACTTTGTCTCTCATATTTATACATTTTTTTTCTAAGATGGTCCTTTTAACAATAGTAGCTCTAACCAATATACTTGATTAGCAAGAATATTTTAGAAAAGACAGTATATATTACAAATAACTAACTTAACTTATTTTCTTAATCTCTTCAAATTAGTCAACTAGTTTTTATAATTAGGAACGGAAGTAGTATAATTACTTTCTCCTTAGGATATTAATCGTCATAATTTTATATGCAGACACCTAACCCTTTATCCTTTTAATCCAGTAATTGACCTTATTGACTTTCAAAGTGAGATAGAAATAGAACGTAACTAAAGGAGACTTGCGGAGAAAAAGTAATATATAATTTGATGGACAGTAATATAATGGTTTTTGTGATTAACAATTTAGAAACTTTTTGCATCTTATTGATTAAATGATCAATCTCCCATAATATGGACGAATCATCAGTTTTCAACTGCATTGAGCTTGTCCAAACGTAATGTTTTTAAAAGGAAAAGTGGCTTCGGAGCTTTCTAAACCTGCTTGTTATTGAGAACACAGAATTGGTTTCATTTGTTTGGAAGGGAATTTTTACAAGGAATTGAGCGTGGGACAAGGAGAGCCTTTCCAGGGCAACAATTGAAGAGAAGATAAGGTTTATGCGCATAAAGCTTGAAAAGGATGGAGAGACGAGGGGCCACACCCAAGCTTTTGTATGTAATCGCCATCTGGTTTTTCTCCATTCTTCAAACCAAGACGAAAGACTTCTCCGTGTACGCGTTTGTAAGATTTATCTGCAACTATTTAAGTTACTAAATTCTCGCATTGTTTTCCTTCTCTTTTTTTTTTTTTTTTAATGAAACGAGGGTATCCCAAATCACATTAAACATGAGACTAGTTCTTTTTGGGTCAGGAGCATTTAAGGAATAACACTCCCGGATTCCAACTTGTGTTATCTTCTTTATAGGAATGAAGTTACTACCATCTTAACCAATAACTTATTAATGCATTATTTTTCTTTTTATTAAAACATAAAATTTCAGGGCCCATGTTTTTAAATTTTTTTTAAAAAGTGATTTTGATTGAACTGCATGAGAGGATGATTATTATGAGAATTTTAATTAAACATGGTGGAATATTGTTGAAATAAAATCTATTTTAAATTATTTTGATGACAAAATTACTAAAATAAGCTGAAAACAAATTTTGTCCTCAACGGCTCTCTCACACAATAACAAGAATTCCAATAAGCTTGCAGCTGCAAAAAGAGAAAAAGATAAAACGGCACCAAAAGATATATATATATATCTACCCCAAAAAAAAAATTTCAATCGCCTCTCAAGATAGGACTAATTCCTTTAATATATTCCCTCAGCATCTTCTGTCAATGTCAAGGCAAGTTCCATGAAATTCTACATTTCTAACTTTTGGGTGTGTGTTATTAGGCAGATTTTAGGTTTTCCTTTCTTTTTTTCTCCCTGCTTTTCTTTATATGTCTACATATAAAAGAAGAGAAAATATTCTGTTCACGAATCATCAGGGTATCCTAGACGCGAATTCATATCTTCAAAAATAATTCCCTCTGCTTTTAACATTTGAATTCATATTTTCAAATGATTCCTAACTTTCCAAAAATATGTCTTTCTCCTTTCTGACTGATCTCAGGAAAACAATAGCATAAGGAGAACCCAGCAAAATCTACACGCACGCATCGTTTGTAACTTGTGATGCAATGCAAATTCAGGAAAAAAAAAGAAGTTGGTTTTCCAGTTCATTTGAACAAAAAAAACCTAACAAAGACCTAAAAGCTTATCACATGGTCTGACTGAACATCTTTAGCTGTGGCATATTTTGAACGACTTGAAATCATTTCCCTTATAATTGAATAAAAAAGTTACCTTGAAGAAACAACAACATACATACGTGTGTGTGTGTGTATCATATCATATGCCGTAGATGTAAATATATATGCCTTGAACAAGTCAGTCCCAAACTTTGCTTTACATTACGGTAAAGAATACAGATCAGGGCGCTTCATTTTGCCTGCAGATGATGAAGAAGGCGTAATTTCCTTATAAGGCGATCACACTTAAGCTATTAGCCCTTTTTGATGTCATGTACAGATATTGCTCGAGCTGTAAAAGTGACTGTAATCATTGGCAGACTTCATATGGTTAGGTTAATGGAGATAGCTCGTAATGCGAAGCCAAAAAAGAAAAAGAAAACTTCATGATATGAGATCAAAAATCGCATGTCGTTTTCTTTTATAGATTTCCTTCACTGTGAGCACATGAAAGTGGCATAAGATTGATCATGAGCATGCATCAGCGTATAATTTTATGATTGCATAGTGCCCTTTTCGTTCATTTTGCTTTGAAATAAATCTGAACCGTACGATGGAAATTAAAATCATTTTTAAAAAGTAATAATAGTACTGATGACAACAGCTGACGCGGGTTTCATTAATTTTGACTAAACCTATAATACAGCATCAAGCCTAAATTAATCATAATTGTCTGGCACTGTTGATCCACATATATGTATATCTGCCCTTGCATTACTGTCATGAGGTTTTGATCTTTACCTGTGTACATAAGGTCAGGTTCATTTTGTGTGATAGATACACAAATATGATCTGAAAGGATAGTTTCTGTGAGTTATTATGAAAGAGGTACAACACCATACACACACCCGCGCCTATATGTGTAAGCTAGGAGCTGATCGGAAAAAAGGATGAAGATAAACATTAACAGTAAGTTTTATCTCCTTAGGTGAGATTGTCTCTGTGAATCCTATGACTTTATTATGCTCTATCAATAGTTAAATCCTTAGATAAATTGTTAATGGAAAAATCATGCACAGTAACTTCATTCAATATTCTATTCGATTTTCTTCTGCATCTTATCATGGCATCAACTTTGCATGGTACTACCCTCAATCCTAATTATAAGACTTAGTTGACTAATTTGAGAAAATTAAGGAAGTAAGTTAAGTTAGTTATTTATAATAAATAAGTATTGTCATTTTTAAAATATCCTTACTAATTAAGTGTATTGGTTAAAACTATTATTATTAGAAGGACTATCTTAAAAAAAATACATAAATATGATAGATAAAATGGATTGAGGTCTTATAATTAGGACCAAACTAAAAGTCAAGCATGGTCTTATATTAAAGAGCGGAGGTAGTATCTAATTTATACACTTAAGTCGATAAAAATTAAGTCCTTGCCTGTGAATATGTTTTATTTAGGAGTGATTTTACTAGAAGAGACTTTAAAATTAAACTTCTTGGTGATGAGTTGGAAAATTGCCTACTCATAGAAACGTGTGTGTGAGTGAGAAAGACGGGTAATAGGCGGGTAGCGTTGGCAGGCAGTTACCACCTGATGGCCACATGCGAAGGCGTGAAGTTTGTCATTCGTTGTTGTGTAGCAAAAAGGTCGGAAGTTTGAACAGTGCTGATGCTGAAAATTGGCAGTTACTCCAAAAACATCGCTCTTCAAAACAGTCGTGTAGAGCTTCTTGATCGGGATCAAGTCGCATTCCTGCCTCGTCCTTTCTTCTTCAATCAACTTATTCTAATTCATGACACGAGCTTTTTAGTCAAACCACGCTGATATCCAATAATATAGATATATACTCGTGGAAACAAAAAATCAGACAAGTATCTTTGCTCCTATATATATAAAGTTCATGTGATTTCGATGAAAGCCCTTTTCTATTCTAATTTAATTTGGATGGGAAATGTCCACACAAATCTGAAAAAAAATTAATCGGTCAAATATAATTTTTTTTATTTGGACAATAATGCAGGATATAAAATTGGCCCGATGGATGTGGATTGGATCAGATAAAGACGATGGGGTCATTAATTACTTTTCAGCACATGCTGGGCGAAAGTTGACTCCCATGTGCTTGAGACAAGATCCACTGGTTATAGCTAATTAATATTGTCTATTTGGGATTAATATAGTCGGACAAAATTAGGGCACGCTAACTGTATCGGATTTATAATATAACTAACAACTATTGGTTCAGTTAGTAAGGAGTCAGCTTATAACCTACAAAATCATGAGTTCAAGTCATACTACTAATGTGAAAACCTTGTTAGAGAGTGATCTGTAAGTATTTCTGTAAGTGTCTTTGAACCTAGAGGCTTCCTTTAATCCTTGTGAGTTAGATTAAACAAGCTTTTAACCTCAGGCCGAAAGGTTTTGTTAGAGCGGAAAGCTTGCTTTAAGTATTTTATCTGAAAATTAAATAATGCAATGCTAAATGGACCTTTGTTTTTTTGGTACAAAAATGGACCTTTTGTTGAACAAGGAATTAAAAATATTGGACCTCCGCATGTTTGGAAGTTATGGTGCTGGAGAAATAAGGCGGCGTTTGACCCTGATTTGCAGCGACCTGCTGAACCTCTGATGGCCGTTAAAAACAGTTGGAGAAACTGTATAATGAGACCTGAATCTGATAAGAGTTGCAAAGATGCGGCTTTTGGTAGCTCTGTTTGGAGCCCACCTCCTTGTGGATGGATTAAATTGAATATTGATGGAGCTATGGATCGCAGATCAGGCATGGCAGGGTGTGGAGGTGCTTTTAGAGATCCAAATGGGACATGGATGGCTGGATTCTCCCACGATATTGGATTATGTAGTGCGTTTGAGGCTGAAGAGTGTGCTTTGTTTAAAGGGTAGAAGATGGCAGAACCTCGGTTTTAAGAAATTAATGGTGGAATCTGATGCTAGAGAATTGGTGGATAATTGGGCTTTGCTCTTTTGTATAAAAAAAAAAAGGATCTCTATTGGAAGGCCCAAATACTGAAGTTCAACAGCCCAAACAGAAATACTATTTTTTATAGCTCATTATCACCAGCTTCCAAGTCACTCAGTTTTTATTCAGATAATTTATGCAACTAGATTATTGTCCTCTATATCTGTTAGCAAATATTAAAAATTTAGAGCCATGCTGAACTTGTATGGCGAAATATTAAATTTGACATTTTTTGTCAATAAAAAAAAAAATAACGTTACTGGTTAGTAAATGTGTGTAATAAACTTTAAAAAAATTGTGAAGATCTTGAAAAAACAGTAAATTAAAATGAATTACAGCTTTACTTGAAAATTATAATCATAATCACCGCGGAACAAGATTGAGATAAAATTGACAGGAATAAATCAAGATGGCATGAACGTTGATCCAAACGAGAACAAGTGCATATATGTGGATTACCTAAATTATATTATATAGGCCATTCATTATTATCGAGCTGAGAATAAAGAAGAGAGTCAAGAGACCACTTGTGTACCAACAATAGGTCTTATTTTATTATGTGAAATAAGTTACATAAATTATACCACTATGTTTCTTATTATAAGTCACTTGTACTCCAAAAGTTTGTTTCAAAATATAAGTCACTTGTAGTATAATTAATGATTTTTTTTAATTTTACCCCTATTAATTTAATAAAAGATTAATTAATCTCTTTCTCAACTTTTCATTTCCTATGCAATCCATCTACTCACTCCCTCTCTCTCTCTCACTCAACTTTTAATAAGGGTAAATATGAAAAAAAATAGTTAATTTAATATATTTATTGGTTTGCAGGTCTGGGATACAAGTGACTTATAATAAAAAACAAAGTGGTACGATATTATTATGCTTTGTCAATAACTAAATATTTTAATAAATTATTAATACAAATCTCATTCGATAATGTTACCAGCTTTTCTTTATTGCTGTTGGAATATAATTTATGGAGGAAAAAAATGATAATTACGCAGGACAGACACACATGGACTAGCCGCTACGCATATGTTGTACTTGTGACTATTATTGTTTTAGTTCTTAATATAAGGGTTACTTAATTAATTTAAATAGATTAGATAAGTAAAATAAATTACTTAATTTTTATAGTTTTTCAAAAAAATATCATTCTAACACTTCAAAAAATATGTTTTATATTTAGAATAAAATCAATTTCATAATTTACTTTTATATTTTCCGCAAAAAAAATAATTTTTATATTTAGAATTAGAAGGGTATTTTTATTTTTATTATTCAGTACTCCATCTACGAGAAGGACGCACAGGAACATTAATTAATTTGCTTCAGAATGAATGTTTTGCACTCCTTTCCCGGCTATGTTGCAGTCAGCCTTGCATCAACAACGCACAACACCATGCCCCTAGGCCACTTGACTGCCCCAGGAGTGACAGGCCAAAACCCCCAACTCTCATTTTCTCACATTTTATTTTCCCCCACGCACACACTCTCGCTCAAACACCACTAATTAATAATTACTACCAATTTATTGTTGGCCAAAACTTACTATAAATTTATTACTGTTTATTATACTCTTTTAGTTCTTTTATTTAAAGAGCAGGGAGAGAAAGTGTGAAGTTAAAAATCATTAAGTTTTAAAAAAGACTTAATAAGATTAAGGGTTTTTCTTGACTTAAATAAAAGTCATTGAAAGTAATTTGTAAACATGAATGACTTTTGCCACCCCTTTTTTTCTTCGTGCCAAGAAACTTCTTATGAATTGTGCACAGCTCATGCTCATCTGAACTTTGTATACATCATATCAACCCAATGCAATTACCTCTGGTCTCATTTATAAGTTGAAAAAATTTAATATTTATTAACTATACTTGAAATTTAAAAAAAAAATCTTATCTTGCTCGTATTAAATACATTATCAAAATTTTTTCCTGTATGCCATAAAATATGATTAGTGTGTTGTAGGTACAGCTTACATACATAGGTCATCTTTGTACTGCAAAGCAAAAATGCACATCCTGCCCTTGCAATTGCATATGATATAATATTAGAAAAATTTTACAAAAAAAATTTAAAATTACTAAATCTCAAATATAAAACAAGGGCAAAAATGTGTTGTTTTTTCACAAATTCGGTGTTATTAGAATCTATTATAATGTTGTTATCAAACATAATAACACAAGATTTACTAATTTAAAGTTTTTTTCCTGAGATTATCCTATAATATTAATCAAATGATAAAGGAATCCCCAAAGGAGAAAGGAAAGGGCAATGACAGAGCTGAAACTGTCTTTTGGAGGCTGTAGGAGTCAAGTTGAGGTGAAGATTCCAAGAATATATATTAGATGCAGCGACAAGCATTGGCCAAACTTCATTAGTTTATTCTGATTCATCCCCATCTCTTGTGTTAAATTAACAACGTCCCAATCTTATCATCTTCTAATGTTTTCATGCCATTCGTACTGACTCACAATAGAATGGTTGTATATATCCATATATATAAATAAATATAGTGGATGATTACTTCTTTTGTTTGTGTGTTTTTTTATTCGACGTCGAGATCAATGCCTCACAGAAATATGGGATTGGACGAACAAAAGAAATGGCATTAACGGCGGCGTCGTGCTTCATGACATATGAATAATGCAGTAATCTAGAAAGCTTCATCGTAAAACATGTCTTGGTTTCTATATGGGGAAAAGGGGCACACACACGGGGAGTAATGCTCATTTTAATTGGAACACATAAATATATAGGAGGGATCAGAAAAAAACAACCAACCTCAATCGAACCTCCGCTTCTCAGCGATTATTCTTAGGAAAATTAAAGGCAAGTTTGAATATAATATACTCTTCTGATCCTAAATATAAATTTTTTTTATACTATAATTTATATTATGAGATGAGTTATAACTGAAAGAAAAAATATATAAAATTGTCTCTTAGAATTTGAATGCAAACATTTTTGAAGTCAACTCCTCTCGGACATTGTTGTTGATATACACAGCCGGCGAAGGCACACAAAAGCAGAGAGTTACAGCTCAATCCCAACCGGCCTAGTCAAGTGTTTTGGTAGATTATAGCTAGTCTTAGGCTTGGGCTGGCAAGCCACTAAGCTATATGATATGCCACCTCTCTGGGATTGAGTGATTCGGGAATGAACGTGTTTAGATTTGCTTTTACAGAATTATTTGGATTAGTTTTTGAGGGAAAAAAAGGATGTCGGGGGAATTAATCACTTTCAAAAGGCTGTGCCGGTGAGTTATTTAATCCAAACCAATATGATTTTTTGTGAGAGGAGAGGGGAGGGGGGAATCTAGTTTTCATTTTAGATGGAAGCGTTGAGTGAACCTTGATTTTGATTAAAAAGCACTTTTTCAGTTCTTTCAATCACATGAAATGCCCATTCAGCTAGCATTACACATCAAAATGTTACCTGTGATGCTTAATATGAGTAAGTAAATTAAAAAAATTTATTAGGTTAGTTATTTTTAACAAATATGAGTTAAAGTATCATTTTAATCATTATTACTTCTAGATTAAGACCTTCTTAATACATGTAATCAATATGAATACTTTATAAAATGAATTATAATTTTAAAAGACAATGAATTGAGATCTTATATTTAGGATCAAATGCAATTATCAATTAGCTTGAGTATTAAGGATTATAATAAGAGCTTTTCATTGCTACGTTAACAAAGCACAAACAAGCATATCTTACATATCTTAGCCTCTTTTCCCCTTTCCAAACAAATTTATTAAATACTCCTTCGGTTCTTAACATAAGACGTACTTAACTAATTTGATTAGATTAAAGAAGTTAGGTAAGTTAGTTAATTATAAGAAATTATGACATATTTTTCCTAAAACACCATAATCATATTTTTTAATATCATCTCTTACTTTTTTACTTGATTATGGTTGAAGAATGATCCATAAAGATAATTTAAGAAAAATTGATAAATATGAGAAATAGATATTATATTTAGGATTAAAATTAACTCAATAATTAGATCTTATATTAATGATAGGAGGAGTACAAAAGGAAAAAAAAAAGGGTCTGCAATACTCAGAACAATTTAGATTATGCACATAAAGGATTATACACAGGAGCCAAAACTGAAGGAACTAGACGAAGTGTGAACGCTTGTTTTGATTCGGATATAGTCATTTCGAATAAATTCAAATCACTTGAAAAAAAGCTGCTCGTCTTCTTATAAACCTAATTATAAGATGATTTTGTTTATTTGATGTCCGAAGATAATTAAAGCAACAGGACCATCAAAATTTAATGTGAGAAGCATTGGATGATTTGTTGTCGGCTTCAATTTAAGAGTCTGATATTTTACGGAAGGAATCTCGCTCTCCCCACTTAACTTCAACGCTAATCGGTAATCACGTTAATTAATTAGTTTCATTATTCCAACGATCCTGATAACGACATTTAGACCGCTCCCCCATAAATTATATGTTTGCATTTTCTTGCATCTTCATAACAGATAACCCTCCCTAAGTTTTTTTTTTAATCTTCAGCTCAATGATTTTCATTATCATCATCATCACTATGTTCGTTAATCAAAACATTTATTAATTATCCACTCCGGAACTTCCAAAGGGTTTCTGAAGTTTTGTGCCATTAAACTAGCTATTAATGCTCTTACTTGAATAAACCAACTTAATTTCTTTTTTTTTATTAGCCAGCGATACCGTGTGTAAGGGCCTGTTTGGTTTGAGAGGAGGAGAGGGGAGGGTAGGGGAGGGAGGAGATGAGGGGTTTCATCCTCACCCTGTTTGGTTTGATTAAAAAGGAGGGGAGGGGAGGATATTTAATGATCTCTTGTTTGGTTCAAGGAGGGGAGGGGAGGGATAGTAATAATCAATTTATTATTTTACCCTTACATATTAGTTTATGT